ACCCCCAGAGTCCCACCCCGCCGGCACCCTCGCCTCCTGCCGCCCACCATACCCTGTGGCTGGCTTTCAGGCGCTCCATACACACGCTGCCTTCGGTACCCACCAGACAACATCCAAGTGGCCTCCGTCACTGCCAGGGTGCGGGGCGGGCACCCCTCTCCCAGCCGCCATCACACCCTAGGACCCCTTAGCAGCCCCAGCCGCCCGTCCCGTCGTCGACTGAACAGTGCCCTTTCTCGGCTCCCTCCCGTCCCCCACCTTGGGAATGTAAATACACCGTGACTTTGAGAGTTTGTACCCTTGCCCTTTCCCCATATGCCGCTAGTGTGTAGGCAGATGTCTGAGTCTCTAGGTGGTTTCTAGGTTTTATAGCAATTAGCTTTGATGAACCCATCCCAGGCAAAATAAAAACAGACAAAAAAAAGGAAAGATTGGTTCTCCCAGCACTGCTGCGCCCCTGCCCAGCTGCTAGGGCCTCCCTGTACGCCTTTGCTTGGTCTGTTGATGAGCCCTCTACAAAAAAACAAAAGTATATATATATATGTACATAAATATCAGATTATAACAGGCAAATAAAAACCTGGAAATGAAGAGGCCCTCTCGGCGTTTTACTGAGCACCCAAATCCCCCGTCCGTGACCACACGGCGGGAGGTGCAGCATCAGGGGCTCTGCCCCCGTGAGGGTCTCGCGACACCCGCCGAGTGGCCCTGCAGGCCTACCTGGGAGAGGGAGGTTGGGGCAGCCCCACAGCCCTCTTTCTGGAGCCCGGGCCTTCCCCTGACCCTGCCAGGCCTTGCTATTGGCTCCTTGGGCATTGCTGTCACACTATTTGCTGGGCCTCAAGTTCTTGTTCCTGCCAGGCCCCTGGGACAAAGCTTAGGCTCTCACTATGGTGGGGAATCTAATGGGTTCAGCGGAAGTGCCGTGATGTGCTTGTGGGATGCCCTCCCTGGGTGCCCAACCCTCTAGCCAGTACACCGCACCATATTTTGTTTTATTATTATTATTATTGAGTCGGAGTCTCACTCGGTCGCCCAGACTGGAGTGCAGTGACCGCTCCCAGCCACCGCAGCCTCGACCTGCTGTGCTCCGGCGATCCTTCCGCCTCAGCCTTCCGAGTAGCCGGAACTACAGGTGTGCGCTACCACACCCAGCTAGTTTTTTTATTTATTGTAGAGATGAGGTCTCACCAAGTTGCCCAGGCGGGTCTCGCACCCGCGGGCTCAGGCAATTCACTCACCTCAGCCTCCCAAAGGGCGGGATTACAGGCTGAGCCACCAAGCCCAGCTTGTTTTTTATTATTATTGTGTTGCTTTTTTTTGAGTTGGATCTCACTCCGTGGCCCAGGCTGAAGTGCAGCGGCGCGCTCACAGCCACCGCAGCCTCGACCTGCTGGGCTCGGGCAATCCTTCCGCCTTAACCTTCCAAGTAGCTGGAACCACAGGCATGTGCCACCATGCCCAGCTACTTTTTTGATTTATTGTAGAGACGAGGTCTGGCCAAGTTGCCCAAGCTGATCTCGAACCCTGGTCTCAGGCAATCCTCTCACCTCTGCCTCCCAAAGTGTTGGAATTCCCGGCATGAGCCACCATGCCTGGCTCTTTTTATATTTTACTTATTAATTTTGAGTTGGAGTCTTACTCTGTCGCCCAGGTTGGAGTGCAGTGGTATGGTCATCACTCACTGCAGCCTTAACCTTTTGGGCTTAGGTGATCCTTCCTCCCTCAGGCTCCCAAGTAGGGGACGCCACCACACCTGGCTAATGTTTTGATTTTTTTTTAGAGATGGGTCTTGCTATGTTGCCTCTGCTAATTTTGAACTCTTAGAGTCAGTTCTCCTGCCTCGGCCTCCCAAAGTACTGGGTTTACCTGCATGAGCCACCATGCCTGTCTTAAAGCACTTTAATGACCCCCAAACCTCAAGCGGACCCAGGATAGCCATCCTTCCTTGGAACTCTCTAGAGTCCCCTCCACCCAGGTACTGGCTCCCAAGCCCTCACCCCTGTGCCCCCCTTAATCACCTCTCTCCTTCCACGTGTAGCCTTCTCTTTGGAGCTCTCATTTTTCTGTCCCTGTTGGGACAGTTCCAGCAGCACCCAAACCCAACATGCTGTAATCGTTGACATCGCCAAAAGTGCCGCTCCTAAGCCCACGTGCCCTCAGGATCTTGCTCATCGTCCCCACCTGTCCCCGCTTGTCACAGCTCTGTCTATTGTCCTCCAAAATCCATCGTCCTGTGCTTCCACAATCCTGGACTTTTGGCTTAGGGGCACAGCAGCTCAGGAAGATCTCTTTAAAGCAGCCTTTGCATGGCTTGGTGGGAAGGCAATGTGCAAATGTGACCTGTGGTCCAGGGGCTGGGGTAACCTCCTTGGAGCGCCCACCTGACGTTGGTGGTTGAGGATGGCAGAGCAGCGGCGTAGAGGGGGCCCAAAGGCCTGCGGAATTTTAGAAAATGGTTTCTAGAGACGAGGTCTTGCCATCATGGCACACCGTAACCTCAGCGTCAAGGGATCTTCCCACCTCCCAAAGTGGCGGGACTACAGGTGTGCACTGTTGCACCTGGCCAATCTCTGGATTTTTAATAGATTAATGCACTTTGGTTTGTTTGAGTCAGGGTCTCACTGTCGCCCAGGCTAGAAGTGTGGTGGCACCATCATGCCTCACCACCGCCTCAACTTCTTGGTCTCAGGCAAGCCATCTGCCCCAGCTTCCCAAGTAGCTGGGACTGCAGGCACACATCACCACTCCTGGCTTTTTTTTTTTTTTGGTAGAGACATCTCGTTATGTTGCCCAGGCTGGTGTTGACCTCCTGGACTCAAGAAATCCTCCCACCTCAGCCTCCCAAAGTGCTCAGATTACAAGCATGAGTCACCATGCCCGGCCTATACCATGCTGTTTTAATTGCCATACTTTTATCATCAACCTTGACACCCTGGTACAGTAAGTCCTCCCATTCTGTTCTTTTTAAAGAAGGTCTTCCATACTTTGTGCTTCCATACACAATGAGGTATTAGCACCAGGACGATAAAAGATGAAAAGCGCCAGATCAATAGACAACTAGAAAGCTGCCACCTACAGAGGTCGCAGGACAGGTACACTGTCACCCGACCAACTGGAGGATGCATGTTCTGTCTCTCCAGGCCCAGTACAGGCTGGTAAGCAAAGGTTGCCTGTTACTTGGGGAGGTTTAAGAGGTCGTTTTAATTATCGAACTTTGTTTTTTGAGTTGGAGTCTCACTCCGTTGCCCAGACTGGAGTGCAGCGGCCGCTCCCGGCCACCGCAGCCTTGATCTGCTGGGCTCCTGCGATCCTTCCGCCTCAGCCTTCCAACTACAGGTGCGTGCTACCACGCCCGGCTAGTTTTTTGATTTATTGTAGAGATTAGGTCTCACCAAGTTGCCCAGGCGGATCTCGAACCCGCGGGCGCAGGCAATCCACTCACCTCAGCCTCCCAAATCACGGGATTACAGGCTGAGCCACAGAGCCCGACTATTTTTGATTTATTGTAGAAACGAGGTCTCACCAAGTTGCCTGGGTGGGTCTTGACCCCACGGGGTCAGGCAATCCACTCGTCTTGGCCTCCCAAAGTGCTGGGATTATAGGCTGAAGCACCAAGCCTGGCACCGGCTAATTTTTTGATTTATTGTAGAGATGAGGTCTCGCCAAGGTGCCTAGGCGGGTCTCGAACCCGCGGGCTCAGGCAATCCACTCACCTCAGCCTCCCAAAGCGCGGGATTACAGGCTGAGCCACCGAGCCCAGTCTTGATTAATTTTATTTTTGAGTTGGAGTCTCACTCTGTCACCCAGGCTGGAGTGCAGTGGCACGCTCACAGCCACGGCAGCCTCAACTCAAGTGATCCTTCAGCTTCAGCCTTCCAAGTAGCTGGAACTACAGGCGCATGCCATCACGTCTGGCTAATTTTTCAATTTATTGTAGAGCTGAGGTCTCGCCAAGTTGCCCAGACTGGCCTCAAACCCCTGGACTCAGGCAATCCTCTGGCCTCCGCCTCCCAAAGTGATGGGATTACAGGCATGAGCCACTGTGTCCTGCTACACTTTGGTTTTTTTAGGACAATTTTAGGTTTACCAAAAAATAGATTGGAAAGTGGAGAGTTCCCATATACCCCCTCACTCCCACGCCAACATTTCCCCTGTGATTAATATTTGGGACCAGGGTGGCACATTTGTTGCAGTTGATGAGTCGATTGTGAGACACTGACATTGACTAAAGTTCATGGTCGACACGAGGGTTCACCCTGG